TTTTTTTTTTTTTTTTATTAGACACTGTATTATCCATAACAGGGAGCTTTATTAATATAGCTTGAAGTAACTGCAGAAGCCTTACAGAGTAAGAAATACCACAAAGGTCAGTGATGGTAAATTTTTCCAGTGGCCCACTGGATATTCCGTTATTTCTAAAGATCAACAGAATCTGTTCTGTTCCACATCCAAGGAAATCATCCATGTGTGCGGAGTCGACATCTGACCAACAGGAGGCTATCTGGAAAAGATTTGATCTTATTTAATAAGAATGGATTTCTAGAGATTAATAGATCAAAATGGGCTGAATACAGTACAGGGCAGGATACACTTTTCAGATTTTTATTTGTAAGTTAATTTGAAAACAACTTTCCATTTTACAGTTAACCAATGTGTTTTTGTTGATCACACAACTTTCAAATAAAATAGCTTAAACTTTTGTTTGTTTGTTTTTTGATAAAATGTGAAAAATTTAAAGGGACGTGAATCATTTTGTGGAATAATGTAGACTCCAGTTTATACATACCTGGAATGTTTCCTTCCATACGGCACAAACATGGCCCTGTTTAAAGGATACAACAAACAGACATCCGTTTCTTCCTGTGTCTGCCATCTGAATGTCCTCAGCCTGCCCAAAGGGAACCTCGCATGTGTCTTTTACTGTCCCGTTTTCAAAAAGCACAAGCTGCTGATTTGAAGTTGCTGCAACAACAGTACATCTCAGCACGTCATCTACTCTGTCAGCAGTGAGAACCCGCATGCACTGTGTGATGCAAATGTAGGGATGTGGTAAAACCAGAGAGCCATCAAACGCTTGTCCACCCTCAAGCAAATAGCCAAGTGTTGGAGAATGGTTAGCTAAAAGTGGTTCTGAAAGTCCAAGAGCAAAAAGCTGTCCTTTCTGGATGGGAAGTTCTCCAAAAAGACATTTTGACATTTGAATGGGGATTTTTCGCACGCCTTCTGCTTGAGGGGATGTATAAGACACACTGTTGTCATGGCTCCACATCACTGTGGGGCCCTGAAGGATGGACACCTTACCCTTCATTTGGTAGGGTAGCTTGAACTCAATGCAGGGCTCCAGCCGGTGTGAGCTTCTCAGAGCGAGTAGGCTGTACTTAAAGCTGCTTCCCTTCTCACTCTTCTTTGTTACCAAAACGAACGCAGTTTTAACCCTTTTCTGAACATCTACTGCGCATTTACACGTCACAATGTCAACATGAGCTGATAGTTTCCTACTGATTGCAGTTGCTCCCTCTGTTGCGTTCAGGAACGCGTTGCCTTCACGTTCAAAGTAGAAACTGCGGAACGTCAGGCCGCTTCTTTCGCTTACATTCACGGCTGGATCACGTTTGCAGGTGAATAGGAGTATCTTGCCACCGTATGAGAGGCCGTGGACATTTCGATTCGAATCATCTGATGACAACTTCTCCATTGTGTGAAGATTCCTGTCGGGTTCGCTCCCTTCAGGCTGGAGCCGGTGGCTTTCGTGGCAGAGCTGCTGAAAATAAAGCGATAACCATATGCTGAATGTGTCTGTGTAAAGAAAACAGAGACACAAACTTAACTTTTCACACCGGTCTTAGAAGTACAGTCAACAATGGCCTATCATATCAAAATAGCGCGCCATATTCACACTGAAGTTAGCTTCCGATTTGTAGTTAGATTTAGCAGTCTGTAAATGGATTTTTGGCTATTTTTATTGTCATTTGTAGATGAGAGGTTTTAGAAATCATGGATGCTAAAATATGTTTGTGGATAAAAATCATGTTTAAAATTAACTTGCCAAATTAACAAATTGGTAATTGCCCTTTGCCCAATTTTCATTCGGAAGCTGACTTCAGCGTCACCCCGGTAGGTGGAACTAAACTTCCTGTCAATCCTAGTGCATTGTGGGTAAGCTTCTGTAAGCACAAGATAAAACAGAATTTGCGACAATATGATAGAATTGTTAGCTATGCTTCATCCTTTATCGGAAATATTTGTAATGTTAGCGAAGAGAGTTAGAACTGTCCATTCTAAAACTCTTTTCCACACGCAAAAATGAAACAACCCTCGGAGGCGTGGCCACGAATGGAGCCAAAATGGCACCATCCGGTTCCCAGCTTCACACTTTTAGCAGTGATTCTTCAGAGCAGCTAGTTTGCTAACTTAGCAGCCTGAACAACAACAACAAAAAAAAAAACCCAACAACGCGGAACTACCACAGAGCCGCGGAGGGACAGCTGAATATGGCAGAGCATGAACCGCAGCAAGGAGAGCAGGTAGTTGATGACCGTTAACCGTTTATTCCGCAACAGTCAAACCCGAATCTAACCCGAACAAACTCTGTTTTGACAGGACCTTGAGAAGAAAATAGTGGAGATCAGGCAGAGATTCAAGAATGAGTTACTCAAAGGTAACACGGTTATTGTGGATAAGCGGATATTAACTCACTCACTCAACATAAATTTGCCTTCAGACGATTTTATTTTTTGGATCTGTTCCATTGTTACTTTTGTTTGCATACTTATTCGTATTTTTGCTTATTTGCTTTGGCAGTAAGAGCTCAGCTAAGCTTCAACAAGGACGTGAAGGGCTCCAATTAGAATTTAACAAAGTTGTTACATTCTAATTGGAGCACAGTTCTGCACACCCCAGATATACAACATTTCTGACCTCCCGTGGGACTTTAATATGGTTTATTATGGACTCCCATGAACAATTAAAGTTTTAAAACGGTTAAAGTCAGTGAGTGTTTGAAAGTGAAACCTGCTGCTTGACCTGCTTGAAGGTCATGTGATTGAGTATTTGTGCTGTGTTTGTAGACTCAACAGATAAGTATGACTCCAGGGATGTGGAGAGGATTGAGCAGGAGGATGCTCTGGTGGAAGCCTACCTCACATGGAGAATGTATGTTGTTGATGACACCTTGAAGATGATAGACGAAAGTCTACTCTGGAGAAAAGAGTTTGGGATAAATGGTAAGATGCTGGAATAACTGTTTTAATCGTCAAAAGAGTTCCATGTCAAAAGAAACGTAATTTTTATTTAAATGGCCATTGCATTGCTTTAGAAATGATACACAAGTCAATTACACAGGCATGTTAAAATTTAAAACTGCAAATTCATTCTAAAAGCTTAAATTTAGTGGTAACTTACATCCCTTATTTTACTTACTTTGCAAGAAATAAAATAAAATAAAACAAGGCCAGAATAATTAAAAAGTAAAAAGAAATTTACTTGACTTCAAAGTCTTTCTATTTTGCCATTGTATAATTTCATTTTTTTACCTATTTTTAATTTTTTTTTACCTCCTATCTGTACCAATAAACAGATGCCAAACTTTTCGCTTGGCACTAAAGCCAGAAACCTCAAACTCACTTTTTAGTTTTATATTGAAATGGAGCAAAGTTTGCTTCTGGCACTTTTGTAGTGTTTGAAGTTTGAGCAATGTAAAAGTTCTTTGTTCTAAGCAACCCACTTTTGAGCACTAAGGAAGTTTTTCTCTAAAAAGAAACTGGACCCAAATCTGGAGACGCTAAATTTAGTATTACAGATTTGACATTAATAATGCTCACAGAAATCCCCAGCAGAATCTTCTTCACTGACCAAGATTGTGCGCAAAAGCATGGAATCTGACATTTCATTCAATAACTCACAGCTTCCTGACGTAAAGTATAAATATAGAAACTCTAGAGGAAATTAAATAAAGGAGAAAAGGAACAATAAAGGCAGGTTCTGGTAGACAGCATTCATGCTAGCGCTCAAACGTACTGAAGTTCAACATCCAGCTTTGCTCAAAGTAGAAATGTTGACATTGGCATATGTGTTGCAAGCTCCTAACACAAATCTGTGGTTGCCCTTGTGCTTATCTCGGAAAAACAGAGTCTCTTTGTGTGTTAAACAGCCATATCTCCATGCATAAGTTACCACAGAGAACAATGCACTCTGTTTCTCCGGAGAAATTTGAAAGACTTGTTGTTTGCTGGCCTTTTAATCCAGTAAATTCTATTTTTCTCCGAGTTGTTTTAGGAAATGTGATTTATTTGAGTCATTAGTGTCTCAGGCCACTGGGATGTGGATGCAGGACTCATGACATGCTGTTAGTTCTCTGCTTCAACTTTTAAAAAGAGCTGATAAATGTGCGGCTTTATGTCCCCGGGATGTTGCGAGGACTGTAGGGAGCATTTTTTTTTATTTTTTATTTTTTTATTTCCTTTATATTTAGTACATCCAGGAAAAAAAAACCCAAATGAAATTCGTATGGCTCTAAATCTGAATTTTTGGGGAACCAACACCATCCGGATTGCCTCAACTGATTGCTTGTCATGTCGCCTGTATCTCTGTCTGATAATTGCCCCATCATAAGTCATTTGTTTGTCTTCATTGCAGACGTGAGCGAGGGCACCATTCCCAGGTGGATGTTTGAGAGCGGTGCCGTCTTCCTCCATGGCTACGACAGAGAAGGCAACAAACTCTGTAGGCAGACTTTCTAATACAGCCTGACCCACACACACTGGAACGACATGGATTTTCCCATTGTAATTTTTGAGTAGAAGTCCCATGGTATTTATGCTATAGATCATAAATACCAAAGCTGTTTATTTATGCCATAATATTAAATTATATATATTTTTTTGTATTTTAAATTAAAAAAATATATATCAATATCTAATTGATTTTATTTTAAATTGAAGAGCAACAATTATTCCTATTATAGATAAAATATCCCAACATATTTACACTTAAGACATAGTTATCTCTTAATTTTAGTTATTTTTGGCTTAAACTAAAAGCTGGAATAAATTTAATAGTAGTTTTTACATAAACATTTTTATTACTAAGAATTTTGTTTCATATTATATTAGTGTTGTTCTTAGATTAATATGGTGTCGCCTTATTGAGAGTGACAGGAGGTGCTCCTTTAGTTTCAATCCCATACCTGTCAATATTTTACTTTTAGAACACTTTCAAACATCTAACCTCGTCTTTGTTGCAAGTAAAGGAAAATGGTAGCATGTTACTTTTAACCAACTCTAACCACCAGTGCACAGCAACAGGTGGTTTGTTGTCCAGAGACAATAGATGAAAAATAGCCTTTTGGCTAATTCTGGCGCATTTACAGAAATGTTAATTTCTGTACCAAATCAATTAAATTACTCTAAATTACTTAGCTGTATGCTACTTACAGTTAAGGGGAAAAAAATGTTGGTCTCTGTAGCACTTCCTCCTGCATCTCATGAAAAGGAATTTAAATCATGGCACACTTTGGTGGAAAGCATTTAGAGACTAGCTTTTTTAAAATCTTGGTTGCCAACACATGCCTAATGCACTGACGGCTCAGCCATTATGTTTTCATGAAAGACATATATGAGCATTTCTGACTCGTTTTAAGAAATAAAACAGACCCTGTTCTTTGCGTACAGTCTGGTTTAAGGTGAAGCTGCACATCAAGGATGCAAAAACAGTCGTGGACAAGAAGAAGTACGTCGCCTTCTGGCTGGAGCGGTACGCAAAGAAGGAACCCGGGATGCCGCTCACCGTGGTGTTTGATATGACGGAGTCCGGCCTTAGCAATATTGTAAGTCCAGCCTTGTGTGTTTTCATTGTTTTTCAGCTCAGCTGGAGTTTTGTTATGAAAAAGAACATCTCATATGGTCATATCTCCTGGCATTTGTGAGAGGATGTAGCAAGGCGGCGAGCTCTTCAGTGGTTTTTAACACGTTGAAGATTAAAGTAGCCTTTAAATCCTGATGGTCAATTCGAGTTGACTGTCTAATCCTTTCACTCACTTTCTCTCAGTCAGTGACGCCCTGCTGGAGAAAGGACTGTTAAATCTGTCATTGCCCAACACAAGCCAACTATAGACACATGACATACAATTATTTGTTTAGAAGAGCAGATGAGAGAGACTTGAGGTGGGGGGTTCTTTCGAAGCCCACGATGAGCTTCACTAGAGCCAGTCAGTGTGATCTAATTAGGGCTTAGGAGTGAGTCCACTGCAAATGAGTGAGGCTTCAAGCCTGTTATGGAGCCTGGCCAAGGCCTAAAGATCCTTCCTGTTGGCCTTTCGGACAGCCTGTCTGATCTACTCAAATAGTATAGACAGTAGAAGAAGAACCACCACATGAAACTTGCCAAGCTGCAGAAGAAATCTTTGAATTATGTTTTAATATAGTTCAATAAACAGCGGAGACCCGAGACTTCTTCTTTTATCAGTGTTGAAAAGTATTGAAAATTGTTCAAACGGACTTGCATTTAATTTTTATTTAATCCTTAGTGGGTAACTTCAGATCTAGAGGCGATCAAATGAGAACAAACATCCTCCTATCATAATCATTTTCTTATGCATATTTTTGTGCTACTTTATACTAAGACTTTTGAGGTCGTTTCCTTTGTGAATCTCTTAATTTATAATTTGTTTTTGTTTGTTTTAGGACATGGACTTTGTGAAGTATGTCATCAATTGCTTCAAAGTATACTATCCAAAGTTTTTATGTAAGTAACATAACACTGAAAGATATTATGACATACCAAGGATATTATATTCCAATTACGGATTGCTTGTGATCTTTGCAGCTGCTTTTAAGTCAAATATGCACAAAAGAACACAGTTGTTTTGTTTTTTGTTTTTTTCAGCTAAAATGATCATAGTGGAAATGCCTTGGATCATGAACGGTGAGGATAAGTCTGATTGATGATTTTTGCTGCACTGTGACTTCATTAAAAACATGATTTCTAAACGTTTATCCTGGTTACAGCGGCATGGAAGATTATAAAGTCCTGGTTGGGACCAGAAGCCATCGCAAAGCTGAAGTTTGCAACCAAAGCTGAGATTCACACATATATTGGTGCAGAGCACCTGCCGCCTCACCTGGGTGGATCGGTATGCTCCTGTGTTTTTCGTCACCCCCCTCGATGTGCTCAATTCTCGGATTTGCTTCATTTAGAAAATAAATGTTAGAATCGGCTAATATTGTTTTTTTTACATTTTGGAGAAACTCCATTATATCAAATGGCTGTTAATTAGCCTTTCAAAAGTATTCTTACTTCTTAAACCTTTTCACATTTTTAAATGTACCACAAAAACAAGCCTTAATGTATTTTGGTGGGATGTGGATGGAAAATGATACAAGGGTTTTACATTTTTTACTAATATGTCAAATGTATATCCTGTAGAATCTTTCGCTGCAATTACTGCTGCACATATAGACACTGAATTTATTTTGCATATATATATATATATATATATATATATATATATATATATATATATATATATATATATATAGATATATATCTTTTTTTTTTTTTTTCTCC